CTCCCTCAAACTGCAGGGTGAAATCTATCACAATATAGTCAATGGTCCCTGGAGATTCCTTCATTTTAAGCTCCCTGATCAAGTCTGCCTCATTACAGATCACCAAATCGAGAATTGCCTGTTCCTAAGTGCTTCAAAAAAAGTATTTCTTGACATTCCACAAATTCCTTTTTGGGATCTGCTATCAACCGGATTTTCTCAGTTTACCTGCCTGTTGAAGTTTCCCATGATTATAATAATGCCTTTCTTACATGCTTTTTCTAACCCCTGTTTTAATTTTTGCTCCACATCCTGACTACTGCTAGATCTGTACTCCACTCCCATCAGGGTCTTTTTTTTTTTTTAAAATCCTTTTTTTTGTTGTTGCTGAACTCCAGCCACACAGACTTTATGCCTTCTGATTCTATATCACTCCTTGTATCAAATTTAATTTTACTAATAAGGCAACCTTGCTCCCTCTGTCCATCTGCCTCTTCTATCAATAGGATATGTAAACTTGGATGTTTAGTTCCCAACCCTGATCCTCTTGTAGCCACGTGAGAAGTCTCTGTGATACCCACAACATCATACCTGTCAATTTCAATTTGTACTACAAGCTCATTGTTTTGTATACTGCATGAATTTAGGCACAACACCATCAGTCTGTATTGACTGGCTCTCTTCTCCTAGTTGTTTCCTTGCCTGAAGTTAGATTCCTGAGCCTTTCCATACTCTGTCCTATTACTTGTTCTGAAACTTTTAATAACCTCTGCTGAGCCCTTCTCAACCTCCCTTTTTAACTTTTTCCATAATATTCTTTCAGCTGAACCCACCCCTCTATTTATTTTAAACCCCTTACTCACAGCCCTAGTTGTGATTTTCCAGGACTCTGGTCCCAGTATAAATCGGGTGGATCCCATCCCAATGGAACAGCTCCCTCCTTCCCTGGTATTGGTGCCACTATCTCACTGATTCAGACCTGTTTCTCCTACACCTGACCCAAAGCCTTGCGTTTATCTCTTTAATCTTGTGAACCATATGCCAATTACTTTGTGGCTCAGGTTGTAATCTGGAGATGATTACTTTTTTTGAACCTGCTTTTTAATTTAGCCCTGAGCTGCTCATATTCCTCAGCAGAACCTCTCTTCTCATTCTACCTATATCATTGGTACCGACATGGACCATGATAATCGGTGCAAGTTGTGGGTTCAATTCCTCCGGAAACTTGTGCACAATGTCTGGGTATTTCTTTCATCAAGGTGAATTGGATGTCATTAGTTAGGCCAGCACGTACCATGCATCCATATTTGCCCTTGAGGCTGTGGTGAGCAGCCCTCTTGAGTCACTACAATCTATGTGATATAGCTATAACACATTGCTGTTAGAAAGGGAGTTCCATGATCTCGTCACAATGATATAGTTCCAAATCAGGATAGTATGGAGCTTTAAATGAAGCTTTCGGGTAATTATATTCCCAAGTATCTGCAGAGATATTACACTTGTGTGGCAGAGGACATTGGATTTCTTTGGTGCTGTCTGAGGATCCTTGCTGAGTTGTTACAGTGCATCTTTAGGTGGTACACACTGGCTGCCACTGTGCATTGGTAGTTGAGGGACTGAATGCTAAAGGTATTAGGTGGATTGCCAATCAAGGTTGACTTTAACAAAGCAGAGCTGAGGACTGTGCTGCTGAAGGTGCTGACTTTTGAATGAAACATTAAAACCGAAATTTTGTCTGCCTTTGTCATGACAGTTGGCTTGCCATATCCAAGACGGGAAAAGAACTTCTCCCCACTGTCTTGGTCAGTATATATTCATTAATTCCATAGCTTAAGAAACAGATTATTCAATCCTTAACTCACTACTATTTTAGGAAGCTTGGGTGCATTTTGATTGTTTTATTCCTATGATACTAAAGAGTCTACACTTCCAAAACCTGACTATAACATAATTTGGGGCAAAATGATGTCATCAGAAAAATGCTGCATTGTTATTTTTCTTTTAAAAATGACCTAAACTGCATCCTTTGTCATAGTAACTGCAAATGTGCATTTTAAGTGTACTTGGCGGTCTTAAATGGATTGACAATGAAGGTGTAGTAGCATTTCAGAGGGACTGTGGTGATGTACTGTTGTGCAGTAAATCATTTGCAATTAAAGTAGAAATACTGAACTGAACAGGTCAGGTAGCATTATTTAGTAGGAAACGTTTCTGATCAAATGACCTTTGGTTATTGACCTGTAGCATGGACTCTCTCTCCACAGAAGCTACTTGACCTGCTCTGTATATCCAGCATTTTGTTTTAATTTCTGATTTCCAGTATCCATTTTACCTTTTGTACACAGTAATTTGTTCAGTGCAGCTGCATTTGGGAAAAAGAAGGTAACATTGCTAAATTGTTAAAAGGAATCATATTACCAAGGCTGCTTGGCATTGCAGCACTTGAATACTCCAGTTACGTACTGTGGCATTGTATCTATGGATGGTTGATCATATGTTTCTCCTTGTGTATGTTGAAGTAGAAGGGCGCCTGAGGGAGTAGTTTCTTGGCAGATGCAGAGGATGTCATTTTTGACTTGTTAACATGCAAAAGAATATTCAGTGTATTACGTGTTTTATCAATTCTTTACTCATCCCTCATTTTGATCAACAAGGAACATAATACTATGATGTGACCTCATTATAATTCATATTTTAAATACACACATTATAAAAGGTTGCTCCCTGATAATTACTTTAAAAATGTCCAGCTGCCAAGTGAATTTAGATTTACACCATTGTCCTGCAAAATAAGGTTAGAACGCACTGTCAAAATGCTGTCTTTTCCCTATTGTGTTTTAAGCACCCAGCAGAGCAAAATACATCAGGGATATTGATTCTGCTTTCTGTGGACTCATCTAGGGACGAGGCTAGAGTTACCATAAGAAATGAAGCTTTGTTTCCACAAGAGGTTTCACCTAGCGGGTTTTTCCTGTTTCAGTTTGTTATCTGAGTACTGACCTAATTCACTGCTCTATCAAGATTATGTTTTATTCAATACAAGAAAATGGATAATTTGGCAAGAAGCACAGTGGTTATGTTGAAAGGGTGTCATGCAGCGAGCACGCATGAGCTTTGTCTGTCTTTCTGCCTCCCCCAATCCTAATTGGACGGAAAGCAAAGATAAGCAGTGAAAAATTATCAATTCAGAACTGTTTATGAAATTCATTTTATGAAGTGTGATTTAATTCCAAACTCTCAACATTCCAGGATGTTGATGAGTGAAAAACTTTCATCATGACCAGCTGTCCCTTGATACGTGGATGTCATCTACTCAAAGTTGTACATTTCTGTCACAGATCTTCCGGTGACTGAACAGGTTAACTCTCAACCCACAGATCTGAAATGAGGATTTATCCTTTTCCTACTGTAACTGCTCTGCTTCATTCATTTAAAGTATTGGAACTCAATGTGGTGCAACTTGACGGCCAGGTTGTTGCCATTTTACATAATTGGTAGCAAGCTTCTTCTAGTTACTAATGTCAGTACCACCTGCTTCAAGGTAAATTTTAGATTGCCTTTGAACATTTTCTTTTTCCTCCTTTTGGACCATTCATCGCTGGAGACTTGAGAAAACAGCACTTGAAGATGGTTTTTGGCCATACGGAGTGACAGTCTGTCAAAGTCGATTTATGGAGTTTGGCATGAGTGCTTGTGGATTTGGCTTCAGGAAGGACACCAGCATTTGTTTAACTGTCTGCATGTTGGGTCTGGAGGATGTGGCAGAGGCATTACTAAGATGTAGTTTCTCAAACTTTCATGGTACTGACCCATAATACAGGTCTCACTGCAGTATATGTGCATGTGACAGCTGCTCTGTACAGTAAGTCTCTTGTTGACTTGTGGATGTCTTTATTCTTAAAAGCTGTCTGGCATGACTTGTAGAAGGTTTAAATGATGCAGCTGCTGCAGTGTTGGATCCTCTCGACATTCTCTTTTTCAGAGAGATGGCTGTCAGGCTATTGGAAATACTTAACATTTTAGTGTCCCTTTTTCACCGTGTATGAGAAGAATATTTGTCTGGCAAGATTTGGGCTGATGAGTTTTGACAGCATTCAAGAGCAGGCTGAATTTCTTACCTGCAGAATTGTAGAGTCAAGAGGGGCTTGCAAAGCTGTTGAAGATCATAGAATCCCTACAGTGTGGAAGCAGGCCATTCAGCCCATCAAGTCACACCGATCCTCTGAAGAGCATCCCATTCGGACTCACACCCCTACCCTCTCCCTTTCACTCGTGCATTTCCCACTGCTAACCCACCTCGCCTAGGCTAGGCATCCTTGGACACTGGACAAGTTAGCATGGCCAATCTACCTTGCTTTCTACATTTTTCTTGTATTTATCTAGCAATAAAGAGCAAGTCAAAGGTTTCTCTCGAGTTTAAAGCCGCAGTGTCTCTGGGCAGATCTCATCAGTCACAGGAATGAGGTCATTTAGGAGAACACCTATCAGGGTTTCCCCTACTATAAATGAAAGTGATCAATTACTTTCCACAAATTTGATTTTATCTCCCATCCTGAAGGTAGTTCCATTCCTTACCTTTGGCTGAGATGGGGCCACTGTGCTCTGATATACAGGGTTCAGATCAGGAGCAGCACCTTGACCTGTGATATTTGTCCTTGCCCCTTCCACTGGGGTTACAGACTTTGTTCTTTTTATCTGTTTATCAACCAACAGTAGCTGGATCGTTTTATGCACCATTTTTAAAAATTTTTTTTTTTTTTGGAAAACCTATTTGCTGAACATTACAATGTATTCTTTCTGACACATTTGGACATTGGTCAACCCCATAGTTTAAACAGTAACAGATCACTAATCTAGTACTCAGCAATATTCAGAGAAATCTTATAGGAGAAAAAGAAATAGTCTAAAACTTTATGACCAAGTGTTTGCAGTATGAATAATCACTTCAAACTGTCACAGTTAACATTGTTTTAGCACTGGTAGGATTGAATACTTTGGTTTAGTGATGTTTTAGTCTTGGATTTTCTTTTCATTTTAGGAGTTGCTGGGTGTGTTTTGCTACTGATGAAGATGATCGGACAGCGGAATGGGTGCGGCCTTGCCGGTGCAGAGGATCCACCAAATGGGTTCACCAAGCTTGTCTACAACGATGGGTCGATGAAAAGCAAAGGGGCAACAGTACAGCCAGAGTGGCATGTCCACAATGTAATGCTGAATACCTAATTGTCTTTCCAAAACTGGGTAAGATTAATAAAGCACAGATTAATTAGTTTTGTCTATGATTTGAAGTTATGCTACTTTTTAAAAGTAGTAAATTCTGGAAATAGTCAACAGGTTTTAGTGTTTGTGGAGAGAGAGAGTTAATACTTAAGGCCTGTTCATTTTATTGTTTGTTATCTGTGCACCATTGTCTAACTGTGCACAAACAGTGGAATTTATAATAAGAGGAGGGACTAATTTTAAACTTTACAAGACACTTTTTCACCTTGTTCATTTAAAAATATAAACTTTATAAATACCTCCTCTCTCTGCCAAACCTCTGTCCCAGACTCCAGCTGACCCAACCCATGAGAATAATTGCATATGTAAGTTAATGCTGTTTTTAAGTATGTGAGCTCTCTCTTTTTAGAGGATATGGTGGCATAATGGACATTTCATTAGACTAGTCCAGAAATCCAGGCCAATGCTGTGAGGACATGGGGTCAAATCCACCCCAACACGTAGTGGAATTTTAATTTCCTTAATAAATTCTGGAATCAAATGATAGGTTTTTACGACAATGACAATCTTCTCTGGCTCACTAATGGCCTTGGGGAAGGAAAACTACCAACTTACCTGGTCTGCTCTGTGTAACTTCAGATCTGCACAAATATGACTCTAAACTGTCCTTTTGAAATGAATAGGCAAATATTTGGGGCAAAATAGGTAGGGATGGGCAACAAGCACTGGTTTATTAGTAATGTCACACACACAAGAAATGAAGATGATGGAAAAATTGGGTAAAATACTTTTAGATACCCAGTCAAAGTTTACACCAAGAGCGCTCATCTTACCTTGATGCTTTTCTTTTTAATTAAAAACTACTTTTTAAACCATGGAAAATAATTTGAAAAGCACAGCAACTACAATTCTTTTGAGGTTGTCATACTCATAACTGATGTTTTTTGGCCGAGAGAAAGGCTGATTTGAATTGCTCAATAGAATATTGGGGAATTATAATATAACTCTGAGTAACTTTCTTTTCCAGTAGTGCTCCTGGTGGGAATTTTTTTTTTAAGTTTGTACTCTAGCCACCTCATGCTTCAATCTTTTCCACTGCTGACTGTTGCTATATTTATACCTTCACCATCGAATATACCTAGTCAAGTACTTTTTTGTACTTGTGGAATTTACTGTTTTTAAGTCCAACTCCCTTGATATTGGTTTGTCTTTTTTTTTTTTTTTTTTCTCCCCCCCAGTATTTTCTCGTTGTCAACTTAATTATACTGCTTTAATTAGGCTCACCACTTTGTTATTACCAGTTCATTGCACTTCTTCTTTTTGAGCGTTCTTCTTCAATTAATTGTCAATGTCCATTTGTAGTGGTATTATTTAAGCAGCCTTCCTGGGTTATCGTGTGATTTGTGTTCAAGGTTCAATGTTCATAGTACAGGCAGTTGACCAACCTGACACAAATATTCTTAAGTTTACCATCAGTTTGATTCTACAGTTGCATAGAAACTCATTCTCGGATGCATCTTTTGCAATCACTGCCCTATGATTAACTTAATTCTTTTATTTATCTTTTGTTAAACTGCCCAGGTGAATAATTTGGCTATTTTTTATTAGAGCCATAGATGTTTACAACACTGTTATTGGCAACTTATTATCAGTGCAAAACTTGATTCACGACATTAATCTCTCCCAGTAATCCTGTGTCTCCATCTGTTTCACATATTCATTTATTTGTCTGCAAAACGATGCAATGGTGTTTGCCTATATCGCTCCCATGCATCTGCAGCACAGACCTAAGCTTTCCTTGGATGCTCACTTTCTTTGTACAACCTTGATATCTAACTTTCAATCTTTATTTACAAGTTGGCTGAATCTCTGCCTTAAGTATTTTCTCCTTTCTTATTTTCTGTCAGCACTGTATCATTTTTTTTTTTAAAAATCACTTTCGTAGTCACTTTTTCCTATTGGTTTTAGGCCCAACCAATAACTCATCCGGACTTTTCCAGAAGAATTTGGAGAACTTGTTGAAAAATTGGGTGATCAAATCTGTTGCTGTTTTATTCCTCTTCTGCCGTTTGTCCTTTTCAGATCTTACTACTGCTTGTTTTGCGAAAGGATCCTTCATCCAAAGTCTTTGCTTGTATTTGGGGATCCTTGGGCATTGAACATGTTTTGACTAATTTTCTGTTTTTCGATTCAATGGTGAGGGTAATTGTAGTTCCATCGCAATCTATCCATGTGACACTTGCTATTACAAATTGGCAATGGAATGTGGGACTTGCCCAATGTTGTTTCTCAAGTGGGTAGGCTAATCCTACAAGGCCATGAAGGAAGCCAAAAACTTGCTGGTATGTTAATGTTAAGGGCGTTAGTGAAAGATAACAGTGAAACACACCCATCTACATGTAACAATTATGTTCTTTAGTTGATTTTTCAAGCAATTTTTTGATTTTTAAAGATCTATTTTGCCAGCATTTCTTATTATAACAATTATTTAAGTAATATTTAGGTATATTTCACTCCAGTTAATATAATATCAGACGTGGATTTGTAGTGCTCGTTTTATAAACAAGCTGTAACTATAAAAAATGCAAATTCCTTCACCCAAATAGAAAACTGTTCTTGAACTCTGTAAATACAGTTAAATGTTTTGCTACTGCAGGTTAATTTAATAGCTGTATCTACAAATGGACTGACAAATCCCTTTTCAATCTAGTAGTTGTGCTGTTTTAATCAATTCAATCCTTAATGATTTTCATTATGTCTACCCTTCGTAAAACACATCATAAAACTTTGGTAGAGAAAGTGAAAATTAACCGGCAGACTCCAAAATCATTATTTTAGCCATTCATAAACTTAACTGAAGAGTTATCTTTTTTAAATTACATTATAAAAAGTGATTTTAAATGTAATTTGCAACTGTTGCCAAAGGTAGGTGTATGAAATTTCGTATGGGGTATAGAGGATTGTTAATTGATTATACATGTTTTTACATATTTTTGTAAATATGCCTTTCTGTAAGGTTCCTTCCACAATGTTTGGTATTGCATAATAGCCAGAAGATGAAAAGAAAGTAATTTTTGTTTATAGCAGTATTGTTCAAATCCAGTTGTGCTCTTTCCCCCTTGCTTTCCTTGTTCTCACGAGATCGGAACAGCACTTATTGAGAAATAATAGACGCTTTCATACTCAAAACAGATGTAGAGCACATCTGAAATTGCTTTGCAATTCGTATTCTAAATCTTGTATTTTAGTTGTGTCTTTATCTTTATGTACCCAAAGTATCATTGATAATTCATTTGGTTTGGTTGTGCTTTGAAGGCTGTAAAACCTCATTGTTCCACTGTCCAAACCAGCTTTTCAAGAACACAATTTTCAAGGTCAAAGTTACAGGGTTTTGTTCTATAAATACCTCAATTGTGTTTGCTTCAGGCAAATCATTGTATGACTTGTAAAGGTGATGATTATAGTTGTTCCATTAAGTAACTTATTGGGAATTCATTTAGTGTCCACATTTTCATTAATCATTCCAATAAAATGCTTCCATAATAACAGTGGATCATATACTAAAAGCAAAGGTACCCAGAAGTTGGAGATTTGATTGTGTTTTTTCCTGAAGAAAATCATGATGCTTCTCATATTTTGTTTCCCTCGGGTAGAAGCATATTTAAATACTTGAGCTTTTGAGATTTCATCTCAAAGTCTTTTTTTCTCTGTGCTTTTCTAGTTGTAGTCTAAACATGGTTGTTCCAGGCCACTCTTGGCTGATGTTCAACCGTACCGTCCATAAACCTGAGGTCATCCAAAGCATGTTGCCCATACAATAAGTTGCACAAAACTAACACACTCATCATCCTTGTTTTGACATGCTACGTTGAGTTCTGGATAAGCATTACTTGATGTTAAAACCCCTCAATCCTTCCTCCAGCCCTTTTGTGGGCTCCTGAAAATTCCCAATTTTAATTTCTACATTATTGACAGCTGTGCCTTCAGCTGTGAACACCAAAGCTCTGGAATTGTCTCCATTAACCTTTCCAGTTTGCTATACTTTGTACATTTAAGCTCCTCTTTTAATTTTGAAAGCTTTCAGTTAGTTGCTGTAACATTCTCTTTTGTAGTTCAGTATCCAGTTGAATTCATCCAATTTTTGTTCCTGGGAAGACCTTGGGAGGTTTAGTATGAAAGGTGCGATAATAAATAGACAATTGTGATCGATATTGATAACCAGACAAGAACTTAAGTTTGGGTTGGAGTTGGCTTGATTTAAGTTTTTTTTTGTTGTTGTTGTTGAGTGCTTTCACATGTCAGGTTCATGCATGCAAGCAGTCTTCCAGTTCCAGGCAAAGGGGAGCCCTCTGTAGACAGGATCCTTTTACGTTTCAAACTAACATTACATTTCTGGCCCACTTACTAATATATTCAATTCACTAGATGAGTGGAGATACTTGAACGATGTTATTTGGTACTTATGGAAAATGAGTAGAGTAGAAGATCTTTGCATCAGGAATGATTCAAAATATTCTGTTATGATGTCCAGTAAATAGATTTATTCCATCACCAGGCTTCAGTTTGGGGAACGATTGCATAGTCCTCATATGTGAATGTTAGAGACCTGTGATAATGCTACAAAGAATTGAGTTCAAATCCCAACAAGGTAGTTCGGTGAATTTGGATTCTATTAATTTAATTTTTTTTAAAAACTTGGGTAAAAAGCTATTTCTATAGTCATTATTTTGAAACTAGTGGATTTTTGCAAAATCTCATCTGGCTTGTTGCAGATTTTTCCTTGAAATTATTTTTCCTGGTCTGTCACTTACTCAGAAAGCAACTGCTCAACAAATCCAGATTTAGGACCACCCACATGCTTGCATGGTTGCGACTGTATCAAAACTTTAATCTCAACAGTATTGAGACCAAGCAGTCCATCTAACCAACATGCCAGCCACCTGACTGTCATGCTCTCTAATGCCAGTGCACAAGGACAACAGTATGGAAAACCAGCAAGATACAATTGAGCGGAAGTTCAC